TCAAATTCAAAGTTCCAAAAGACACAGCAGCAGGTGAATATGAAGTCAAAGTCACAGCTACAGATGGCAAGAAGATTGGAACAAAGAAGTTCACAATCACAATCAAGAATAACACAGTTCTCACAATCTATTTCGAACCAAAACTTAATGCCACATACAACAAAGGCGACAAGGTCAACTTCACAGCTGTCATCAATGATCCAGATACAAACTTCGATAACAAGTTCACTGTTTCTCTGTTCTACAACGATAAAGTCAAGAAGACGATCACATCAACTAACGATGCAGGATTAGTCAGAGTTCCACTTGATTTCACCATCCCAACAACAGAAACAAACACAACAGCCGAAATCAAGATCGTAGTCACAACACCAACCGAATCCTCTGAAAAATTAACAAATATCAACATCTATCAAGATGTTATCGCAAGTGATTCTGCAACAGGAAAGATTGCTACAAAGGAAGCTAAAAAGAAGACCGCCCTTGTTGCAGTTCTCTGTGTCTTAGCTGTCATTGCTGTTGTTGTTGCGGTAGTCGTTATTATTCTTTGGCTGAGAAAATAAAAAAATTCGGAGAATAAATTAAATTTTATGCTTTAAACACACTTTTTAAAATTACTTATAAATTATCTTTCAACAAGTTGAAATTACTCAATCTAGGATTGTTTTTCATGTGAAATTCTTGTTGTGCAACTAAATCTTAATTGCCAACTTGGAATAAAGATCATAGAACAAGACAAGCTTTTTTATAAATGAAGCATCTAATTAATAAACATTACTAATAAATTTTTTTCAAATGATCCCATAACATAAGTTACCAATTGATGAGTATATAATGCTGCAATGATATCTTCCCATCTCAAAAATAAAGGAGAATGAATAATGACTCCCGTTTGTTACTATAAAAAATCTGCCAGCTAAAAAAACAGTTATTTTGTCTCATTACTCATCAGATTTATTCGTTTTTCTTGACATTATCATCAAGGGTCCATCAATATATAATGACATATGGATGTGTATATACAGGAATTATAGTTCAATTTTCATGGCTAAAAATAAATGACAAGAAGTAGAATGTCAGATTATTTCAAAATTTCTGACATACATAATTAATGTGAAATTTTTAAAATTATATATTGAACTGGAATTTTCGAATGAATAAATAAACTCAATCATTAAATTTGACACAGATAATAAGTAGTCATTCAGATTTGCATCTATTATTTTTAGTTATTAAATCAAATTGAGCATTTTTTATTTGAACTGACATTGGGCAAAGAACTTTCAATTTTATAGCTTTTTTATTTTTTATTTTTTCACAAAAAATTGAGAGGATCATCTTGACATTATACAAGGTGATTATAACTATAGAAAATCAATCATAAGGTATAATAATATGAAATATTATCGATTCATATGTATAGATGACTTTGAAAAACGACTCAAAATGTTTCTGAAATATTTATATTTGAATACTTTTATAAAATCATTTTACCATTTTTTTAAATGTTTTCCATATTACTTGCACAACTTTCTCTTTCAGTTTCAGGCAAAGTTGTTGGGGATAATTCGTACATGATTTATGATAAGGACGGAAGGGAGAATTATGAAATAATTAAAGAACCTTATACAAAAGTCAGAATAGATGGTGTTACAAAAAACATTAAAGAAGCCACTGATTTAGGCTACTCCGTTGAAATTTATAATGATGAAAATTCAGATTATGTTATTATTTCACAGACAATTACCAACAAAGGCTCAACGGAAAAGAAAATTGACCTTTGCACAGCATTGAATTTAAAAGATTCTATAGATAATGTTGAAGCATCATCCCTTACAAACTTTGGTTATTATCTTTGGTGGGATCAAACAAATGATCTGACACTAGTTCTGCAAAATCATCCTTGGGTTACAGATATCAGTGCCCAAGACTTTGGAATAGAACCTGAGCCAAGATTCTTCACGAACAATGAGAAAATTTTAGAATACGACTCTGGATTCCTGAAATTCAATGGATCTCATTCTCATGGCTCAACAAGTATATCCAACCAGGAAAGTCTATCACACTTTCTTACATGTTTTATGAAGAGACATATCAACCGCCATTACTTAAACTTGATAAATCTCTGATTTCAGAAGAAACAGATTCCACTGAAGTAATTCAAGTAAAGGGAAGTTTTTATTTCTTAGTTGAACCATACACGGTAGAAGCAGGTTGGGAAATTCATGATTCAAAAGATAAGATAATCAAATATGGCAGCCTTGGCAAATTTACAGTTTCAGAAAAACAAACAAGTATGGATTTTGATGTGTCAATCACACCACCAACAGAACTTGGAAAGTACACATTATATGTTTACACATATACTAATGGTCTTGGCTCATTGCTTTATGAAGAATTCACAATTACAGTTGTTCCACCAAATTATAGACCAAAGTTATACATTGTTCCATCTGAATACCTATATTACATTCCAGATTCTGAAGTTTCTTTCTTGGCTTCAGTCTACGATCAAGATTCAGGTGATAAACCACTCACAGCAAAGGTTTTCTTCAACAATGCAGAAGTTGCAACACAAGAAGTTGCAAACAGCAAAGATCTTAAGACATTCAAATTCAAAGTTCCAAAAGACACAGCAGCAGGTGAATATGAAGTCAAAGTCACAGCTACAGATGGCAAGAAGATTGGAACAAAGAAGTTCACAATCACAATCAAGAATAACACAGTTCTCACAATCTATTTCGAACCAAAACTTAATGCCACATACAACAAAGGCGACAAGGTCAACTTCACAGCTGTCATCAATGATCCAGATACAAACTTCGATAACAAGTTCACTGTTTCTCTGTTCTACAACGATAAAGTCAAGAAGACGATCACATCAACTAACGATGCAGATTAGTCAGAGTTCCACTTGATTTCACCATCCCAACAACAGAAACAAACACAACAGCCGAAATCAAGATCGTAGTCACAACACCAACCGAATCCTCTGAAAAATTAACAAATATCAACATCTATCAAGATGTTATCGCAAGTGATTCTGCAACAGGAAAGATTGCTACAAAGGAAGCTAAAAAGAAGACCGCCCTTGTTGCAGTTCTCTGTGTCTTAGCTGTCATTGCTGTTGTTGTTGCGGTAGTCGTTATTATTCTTTGGCTGAGAAATAAAAAAATTCGGAGAATAAATTAAATTTTATGCTTTAAACACACTTTTTAAAATTACTTATAAATTATCTTTCAACAAGTTTGAAATTACTCAATCTAGGATTGTTTTTTCATGTGAAATTCTTGTTGTGCAACTAAATCTTAATTGCCAACTTGGAATAAAGATCATAGAACAAGACAAGCTTTTTTATAAATGAAGCATCTAATTAATAAACATTACTAATAAATTTTTTTTCAAATGATCCCATAACATAAGTTACCAATTGATGAGTATATAATGCTGCAATGATATCTTCCCATCTCAAAAATAAAGGAGAATGAATAATGACTCCCGTTTGTTACTATAAAAAATCTGCCAGCTAAAAAAACAGTTATTTTGTCTCATTACTCATCAGATTTATTCGTTTTTCTTGACATTATCATCAAGGGTCCATCAATATATAATGACATATGGATGTGTATATACAGGAATTATAGTTCAATTTTCATGGCTAAAAATAAATGACAAGAAGTAGAATGTCAGATTATTTCAAAATTTCTGACATACATAATTAATGTGAAATTTTTAAAATTATATATTGAACTGGAATTTTCGAATGAATAAATAAACTCAATCATTAAATTTGACACATATAATAAGTAGTCATTCAGATTTGCATCTATTATTTTTAGTTATTAAATCAAATTGAGCATTTTTTTATTTGAACTGACATTGGGCAAAGAACTTTCAATTTTATAGCTTTTTATTTTTTTATTTTTCACAAAAATTGAGAGGATCATCTTGACATTATACAAGGTGATTATAACTATAGAAAATCAATCATAAGGTATAATATATATGAAATATTATCGATTCATATGTATAGATGACTTTGAAAAACGACTCAAAATGTTTCTGAAATATTTATATTTGAATACTTTTATAAAATCATTTTACCATTTTTTTAAATGTTTTCCATATTACTTGCACAACTTTCTCTTTCAGTTTCAGGCAAAGTTGTTGGGGATAATTCGTACATGATTTATGATAAGGACGGAAGGGAGAATTATGAAATAATTAAAGAACCTTATACAAAAGTCAGAATAGATGGTGTTACAAAAAACATTAAAGAAGCCACTGATTTAGGCTACTCGTTGAAATTTATAATGATGAAAATTCAGATTATGTTATTATTTCACAGACAATTACAACAAAGGCTCAACGGAAAAGAAAATTGACCTTTGCACAGCATTGAATTTAAAAGATTCTATAGATAATGTTGAAGCATCATTCCCTTACAAACTTTGGTTATTATCTTTGGTGGATCAAACAAATGATCTGACACTAGTTCTGCAAAATCATCCTTGGGTTACAGATATCAGTGCCCAAGACTTTGGAATAGAACCTGAGCCAAGATTCTTTCACGAACAATGAGAAAATTTTAGAATACGACTCTGGATTTCCTGAAATTCAATGGATCTCATTCTCATGGCTCAACAAGTATATCCAACCAGGAAAGTCTATCACACTTTCTTACATGTTTTATGAAGAGACATATCAACCGCCATTAACTTAAACTTGATAAATCTCTGATATTTCAGAAGAAACAGATTCCACTGAAGTAATTCAAGTAAAGGGAAGTTTTTATTTCTTAGTTGAACCATACACGGTAGAAGCAGGTTGGGAAATTCATGATTCAAAAGATAAGATAATCAAATATGGCAGCCTTGGCAAATTTACAGTTTCAGAAAACAAACAAGTATGGATTTTGATGTGTCAATCACACACCAACAGAACTTGGAAAGTACACATTATATGTTTACAATATACTAATGGTCTTGGCTCATTGCTTTATGAAGAATTCACAATTACAGTTGTTCCACCAAATTATAGACCAAAGTTATACATTGTTCCATCTGAATACCTATATTACATTCCAGATTCTGAAGTTTCTTTTCTTGGCTTCAGTCTACGATCAAGATTCAGGTGATAAACCACTCACAAGCAAAGGTTTTCTTCACCACAATGCAGAAGTTGCAACACAGAAGTTGCAACAGCAAGATCTTAAGACATTCAAATTCAAAGTTCCAAAAGACACAGCAGCAGGTGAATATGAAGTCAAAGTCACAGCTACAGATGGCAAGAAGATTGGAACAAAGAAGTTCACAATCACAATCAAGAATAACACAGTTCTCACAATCTATTTCGAACCAAAACTTAATGCCACATACAACAAAGGCGACAAGGTCAACTTCACAGCTGTCATCAATGATCCAGATACAAACTTCGATAACAAGTTCACTGTTTCTCTGTTCTACAACGATAAAGTCAAGAAGACGATCACATCAACTAACGATGCAGGATTAGTCAGAGTTCCACTTGATTTCACCATCCCAACAACAGAAACAAACACAACAGCCGAAATCAAGATCGTAGTCACAACACCAACCGAATCCTCTGAAAAATTAACAAATATCAACATCTATCAAGATGTTATCGCAAGTGATTCTGCAACAGGAAAGATTGCTACAAAGGAAGCTAAAAAGAAGACCGCCCTTGTTGCAGTTCTCTGTGTCTTAGCTGTCATTGCTGTTGTTGTTGCGGTAGTCGTTATTATTCTTTGGTTAAGAAAGTAAAAATTACGGAATTTTATGAAATATTAAAATATGAATTTTTAATGAAATTATTAGATTTTCATTATATTGAACTTTGACCGCAATTACTATTTGTATAAAAGTTTTAATTAATCTGTTAACCAATTTCTAATTTATGAAAAAAAGGAAACATATTCCAGCGACTTTCATCATGTCTTTAACACTCTTCTTGTAGAAGAGTCCTAATGAAGAGACAACGATTGAGTGGAATGTTGCCTTCATGTGTAAGACATTCTCACATCGTTGTCTTAAATTTTCGTAATTTTGGAGCTTCTCTTCTTTGATTTTCTGCTTCATCGTCAATTCTTTGATATTCAGTGTCAGTGTTTTCAAACATTTCTTTATTGTTTATTCCTTGACATTTCTCTTCAACTGGTTCTCCATCTTCTTCATTATCTCGATGGTTTTGGAAGTCATTGATGATTTCTGGTGGATCGTCATGAATTCATCAGCTCGATGCTGTCTTCCATTTTCGATTTTCTCTTGCATTTGGTCTCTAAGTGGTGGATCGTCACTGTTAATGCTGGTAGATTTTTCTTATGCTATCCAATTACCAATGTCTTTGAATGATTTGCATTGTCACGAGTTACAGCACCTGGTAAAAGTCAAATCATAAAATTAAAATATAAAATAAATAAAATGAACAAATAAATTAAGTTTAAATATAGACTTTTGTCCAGATTATTCATGGTTCTTCATTAGCCAAGTCACAGGCTTCTTCATTCATCTTTCATATTTAATTAAAATAAAAAATTACAAAAAAGCCAGTGGCGGAACTCGAACCCGCAACCCCAAGATTAAGAGTCTTATGCTCTATCCGGTTGAGCTACACAGGCTTTACATATTAAGAAATTTATTATAAAAATTGAATAATTTAGATAATAATGGATTCTTTAAGGGTCCACTGTAAAAATTGAAAGTCTCTCAAAATTGAGAGGCGATTTGCAAATAATCGTTATCGTCTTTTTTCAAAAATCCACTTTTCCTAGTGTTCTGATTAATATTTTGTGAATGTAACAATAAAGTCTATGTTTTAGTAAGATGCTAATACATTCTATCACTTCAAATCACATAAAAATTGCAAAATCAGCGAGTTTTATAAGAACATGATTTTTTCGAATTTTTTCGCTTCTGGATGCGTGTTTTGAAAAATAGATATTTTCGAATTTTGATTTTAATTTAAGTATAAATTTTATATTAGGAATTTTTTTGACCTATTTTCAATCATTAATTCCTAAGTTTTTCTAGGAATTTAATTGAGAAGAAATTAGGAAATTCGCTTTAATGCCATTACATCCTAATATTGTGATGCATGTAGTTTATATTTATTGAGGCTAATGCCGGAATATCGTGCATTTTATAAAAAATTCAAAGAATTGACAATTGGATAGCACAAATTTAATTCTCTAGACAAAGTATTATTGTTTATATATTCAAAGCATTATCCTTCGTTTTGAAATGTTGGCTTTGAATTTTCGTGTTATTTTTTGTGTTTCAGCATAAATTATGTATTGACTTATGAAAGATAAGCATTTTATTCATTATCATAAAGATATACCAAAACAAATTGATAAAATTTAAAAAAATGTGTATTTTAGTGGGTATTATTCTGGCCAATGCCCATTTTTAAACGATTTAATATTGACCATATCAATAGCCAACTCAATGTAAAAATTTAGATATTATTTTTTTCATTATTCAAACTTTGATAAATTTTAGTATAATGAATGATTTTGTTTCGTGTATGATACAGAAATGAAAAGCTTGATTAATATCATTTTGCATTTTTTCAAGAATGTTAGAGTACATCTACATTAAAAAATCGGATTCGAATTGCGATACTGCATCAAATTGTTGCACATCTGATAAGGATCTCAAAAGAGTAAAGTTAATTTTTTTGTGTTTTTTTAAGTTTTGGGCCTTAGTAAAAACACCATCTTGAGCAATATTTTTGGGGCGACGATAGGCCTTATTTGGCCTTACAGTGGACCCTTAAGCGCCGACAAAATATTACTTAAATGCAATCTGTTGAGGCTAAATATTGCTAATTTTTATAATAGTTAATTTACCATACTACATCATCTTTAAATCACCTCATGTAAATTTTTTTTGTCAAATCTTATTTTTAACAAATTGCTAATTTTATCTATCTGGCATTCACTTCCAGTCTCAAAGACAAATATAAAAAAAAAAAAAAAAAAAAAGGTAGTGGGGCTTCCAGGGGCTGCGCCCCTTCTAGCCCTGAAGATGATTAGTATAAATGAAGTTTTTATTCGGAAAATTGTTAGTCTTCTGGTGTGAATTCGGAGGACTCTTCTTGGATAGAGTCTTGTATTTCCTCCTCCTCTTCTTCCTCCTCCATTGCTTCTGGGAAGAAGCCTTCTTCTGGGTCGAAAACATTATATAATGTGTAATTGAATGACACATTATATCTTTCTTTGAGTTCGCTCCTGACAAAGAACTTAGTTCCAGGAATACAGAAGACTTCTGTGCGTTGGAAAAGCTGATGTCCTGGAACGAATTTGGCAATTAGAGACTTCTTTTTTCCGAATTGTTCAGGAGTTTTCATGACGACAGTAACAACATCTCCATCTGCGAGGTCTTGTTGTTGTTCGGAAAGGTAAAGAGCAATGATATGAATGGTTGCTGCGTTGAATTCGAGAAAGTCGAATTCAAATTGTGTTGTCGTATAACATTCAAACCATTTTGTACAGTTGTCTCCGAACTCGTCAGCGTATTCATCTTCGTCATATCCGTAACTAAAGACTTGGAATTCGGCAATTCTCTTGTCGAATGACCGTTGGATGTAACGAGGAAGATTTTGACGAACTTGGTATAAAGTTCTCAACATTATAAGCTTAGTAAATGTTGGAAAATACTGAACTAAGACATCGCTAAGCTCAATTGGACTTGGAATTGTCTTAGTAAGTTCAATTGAACTAGTAATTGCTTTGTTCAGAACTTCACAGAACTGAGTATTGTATGTAGCGTCTGGTTGTGTGTTTTCTTCGGCGTCTTTGAGATATTTAGAGCAAATTTGTTGAAGAATTTCTCTTAATTCGCTGTTAGACCTTTTGGTGGTTATTCTAACCGCTGTGCCGGTTCTTGGAGGTTGTGGGGCTTTGGCTTTGGTTAGCGGTTGAGAATTGTTAATGTTTGAATTGTGGTTAACAGCGTTGGCTTCCATTAGATAAAAATGAACTGTTTTTTTCGGACTACTCATAGAAAAGTTTAAAATAAACCGTTTTCGTCAACGGTAACCCCCTCTATTTTTTTATTTTATTTAATAGTTACCGTTGGCAAACCGTTCCATCTCAAATATTGAATGAACTATAAAAGTTTTTTGTTTTCTATATATACTTTTTTGTCCAACGGTAAAACCTTTTACACAACGGTTTTTGAGAGTCGTCGCCGTTGACTTTTTTGTAGAGCACTCAAAATAGTATAACTTTGTCCGGACAAGTAAGGGTCTATCGTCGCTACAGGAAAAGTTACAGGCGTTCCAAGGAAGTATACTTTGAGAAGCCTTTTCCCCTTATAGAATGAGATAAGACGGTTATTTTACAAAACTGACAACACTTTGACCGAGTAGTTTTTTGTGCTGAACAAAAAGTGTCATATAAACATCTGTCAAAAACCGCTTTTTAACTTCACTTAAAATGCCACGTAAGCTACGTAAGAATATACGTAAGAGGAAGAGAGCATTGAAACATCCAATAGTAAAACTGACACCACAACAACAGTTGCAACAACAAATGCTGAATGACCCCACTATGTTGCAACAAATGTCAAGCAATCCTATGCTTTTAAACCGAGTTCTTGGTGCACAGAGTGGAGGTTTAAGAGCGGCACTTTTAGCGAAAATGGCAGGCTATGGTGGAGCTGCAGACGGAACAGCTTATAACCCTCAAAGTCAAATGAATTTGAGTTCACTCAAAAATCAAATATCAGATGTCAAAAAGTCAAACATAGACATACAGAAACAAATAAGTGAAAACGAAAAGAAACTAGAATATGACAGACACACAAAGAAACTCAATGAGTTAAACGTAGAGAAAAAGAAGAAAGAAGAACAACTGAAAGAACTAAGTACAGAGGAATATGCGAAAAAAGTGTCAGAAAAAGCAGCAGAAGTAGCAAAAATGGAACAAGATGTTATAAATTTGAAAAACCATACTACTCAATATAAAGTACTGAAAGATGAAGAGATAAAACAAAAAGCCCTGAAGACATATATGGATAGCGATGAGTATAAAAAAGAAGTTGAAGCAAATGTAAAGGCAGAAAAACTTTTACAGTTGCAAAACCAAACCGTACAGTATGAAAACTTAGCACATGAAAGTAAAAATAACGACGCAGCCATGCAAAAGGCAATGAAAAGCGCAGAATATATAAAAGCTAACAATGACTGGTTAGATGCCCAAGCCAACGCTAAAGCAGCCCAACTTATAGGGTCAATAAGGACAAAAATACAAGCGGATGAAGACAGTTCAAATGAAGCTTTAATGAATGCTGACTTTAAGAATGCCTTCGAAGCTCTTCATAGTAAGGTGAAACTAGTGAACGACTTCTCATCTGGAAAGAAACTGAAGTCTGAAGGTTTCGACAAAGAGTTAAGAGAAGTAGCACAAAATATGACGAAAATAACAGATGCAGCAACGAGACAGGCAGTTCAAAGTGCCTATGACGCCGTTAGAGCAACTGTTGTGGAAAGTCAAGAAAAAGAGTTACAACAGACCAAAACAGACCTAGTAAATGCTTTCTTAAGAACGAAAAGTCAGGTAGGACATTATGCTGCAGATGGAACATATGTGCCAGCTGGTGGAACTTATATACCACCAAACCCTCCAAGAGAAGCACCTGCACCAGGACTACCTAAAACATTTACATCGTCACATGGACACAGACACAGGCATGCACCAAAACCAACACAACAACCAACAGTTCAAAACCCTGCACAACAACCACCTCCACAACCAACACAACAACCAACAGTTCAAAATCCAGCACAACAACCAACAGTTCAAAACCCTGCACAACAACAACCACAAACAGAGCAAGGACATAAAAGAAGTAGAGAACAAGGAAACCAAGAATTCTTAAAAATGCTTAAGGAAAATTATGGTTACCTAGATACTCTTGACTTTAGTGACAGATATAAAGAAGCTATTAGAAAGTTCAAGGAAGGAAATACTGACCCGAACCTATTTAGCTTTATGGCTCAGCACCAAATCGGATATAATCTCAAACCTGGAAAATACAAGCTCGCTAAGGGATATGATTTAATAGCATATCATCCAAATGACATGAATGAATATACTCCGAGATATTTGGTGTCAGAGATAAATGATAATTCAACTATCTTCATGAAACGCGTAAAAAATAGAGACGGAACGAAAGAAGAAAGGGTTATGAATGCGGATGACTTAAATAGGGAACTTGTTAAAAAACGGTCTCGGAATATGAAATGCCACCAGATGAGGTACAAGAAACTCAACAGGAAGAAGTTCAGATACAACCAGACATGGAAGAAATAGTTCAGCAACAACAGCTAGAAGAGCCTGAAGGAAACGAACAAGTCCCTCCTTTGGAAACTAACTTCACAAAACTAGATGAAGATTTGGAACAGCCGAAAAATCTTGACCCTCAACAAGTGTATGCGGGGAATATGGAATCTTTCCAAGAGTCTAAGAAAATTCGGCTGACAGAGTAGAAGAATATCGAAAAATGTTTACCGACATACAAAAGACTCCAACATCAGATGAAAATATTCAGCATAGAATGGAAGTACTGAAAGAAAATGTACGCCAATACACAATCCTTTTTACTTACGACCATATAACGTTCAATCTTTGGCTGAACTCGGTGAAAATAAAAGGTTAAATTTCACCAAAACATATAGAAATGAAACATTGTTTAAAGTTCATTCAGAACCTAGCCAATATGGAAACAAACCTACTTTTGTTTCTGCAGACTATGGAACTACAATGAGATGGGGTCATAAAGCTAATCCGGATAGGTGGTTCATAAACTTACAACCTCAATTCCAAGAAGTTGTAGACGCAATGGAAGTGAATGGTGAACCAGATATAACGGGTATTTTCAGCGCGGCTTTAATGCCATTGAAAGATATGAAACATGCAGATATTTTGGACCAGTATGAAATGAACATGGCTGATGGAAATATAACACCTGACGTTCTAGAACATTTATCTCAAAGAACTACACAGAACCATAGAGATGGTATATTTGGTGAAGAGTTTAGAAAGAAAGTTAGGGAGATAGAAGGAAGAGAACCTATTGTACATGACCTTGCAAACGAAAGTTTGCAAAATGTCATAAAAACTTACTTTGCAGACAATAAAATGAGAAGGGATGAATATTTAAGAAAACTCAAATGGACAGTACCAAATGAAATGTTAGTATTGAAAAACATGTTCCTTGACAAAATAAAAACCAACTACAGAAATAAATGACGCAAGCCTGAAACGTTGGGTAAAAGCTTTCCCATTCACAAAAGATATTATTGGTTACATGGAAAGAAAACCAGAATGGCTACAAAAACATATATTTGGAAACGAGCTTATTCCATATGGACAAGCTATATTTGAAGAGCTTGAACCGGAAACTCAGGAAAGAGTCATGCAAACAATACGCGAAGACTCAAATACAAACTATGACAAAATCTTTCAAGGATATAGGTTACCTGAGATGGGCGACCAGAGCCCAAAGGCAAAAAGGACATGGGAAATTTACAACATACTAGGTGAACATGAGGCAAAGATGCAACAACTTGAAGCAGAGGGCAAGTTACCAAAAGCGACACCAAAGAAGAAGAGTAGAACAAAGTGAAAATAGTGAAGAAGTAACTTCATCTAGTGAAAGTAGTGGCAATGAAGGAAAAAGAAGAGTTAAAAACTCAGTCAGGAAGAATGTAAAGCTTGGTCCGAGTGGGTTCTATTATGATATATAAATCCAACTATTCTATATTTTTACCCATATGAAATGTACGCCGCTCAGAATATAACGCAACAGTTTTGGATGCCATGAACGGAAATGTTTCCGAATGGTATAACGAATGCGACAATGCCATTAGAAGGTCAGAAATAGTTCCTGGAACTTACGAATATACAACTGCTGTTTCTTATGGAAATGTAGGTGAGTTTGGAGAAGGTTCTTCAACAACAGTAGATATTGCATGCGACAGGTTTCATATTATTTCTATTGACAACTCATTCTTATACGTGGAACAAGACATTGAAATAAAACCTTCTGCCAAGTTGTCTGACAAGAAAGGTTGCAATGGAATTTTCTATGTCGGATACCAATATGCTCCAGAAGTTTTCATGGATATAAGATATATTCTAACTCTGACTTAGTTCAAACAGTAACATGGGCAAACTATGAATGGTTCGCTTTGAGAAACTCAGTACAACACAAGCTAGAGAACAAAACAGACAGTATGCAAACTATTGAAAATAAGAAGACTTGACCCTAACTTCCAGGAGTTTATGTTAACCTTTCTGGACAAACTGCAGCAGCAGTAACCAAAGTAAAACTGAAACTTAGAGTTCCTTTGTCATCTTTCCTTCATCTTCAGGTTTTTAAGAATACTTACCAAACTGGGCAGGAAAAATTTCTATTGAACTTACTCAAGCAACAAAAAATAACTTAGTCATTGCACCAACACAAGACCCATTCACTATACTGTAGCTGGAACTGGTGGAGCCAAGTTCTGTGACTTTTGCAAAGACAAAGTTGACTTAGACTTTGGTTTCTCAAACTTCAACACTGAAGTAAACTATTATTTCAATGCTGCTGGAGATGCTTGGGACCCAGTTAAGTTCACATGCGAAAAGTTTGAATGCAAGAGAATAGAAAGCAGACTTGCCGTTTATATGTTGGATCCAGATATTTCAAATGCTTTAGCTGCCAAATATATTGCAGTTCCACTTATGTTCCCTATACACCAAATATCTGTCAAAGACTTTGCAGGTGAAGTTGGAAACCAAAGTGCTGACCCAGGTGCAAGAACAGATATTGCTTTAACAACTGCAATGAAACATGCAGATACTATGTTTGTACTGTTCAGACGAACTATAAATGACTATTCTTGTTTCTACAACCCTGGTATTAAATATCATATAAACATAGATGGCAAATATTATCCAAGAGAAGAATATTCTACAGTTGAGGATATGAGGTCATACAACTTGACATTAGATGCTATGAACTTTAACAACAACTTCACAACAACCATTAACCCTGAAATGCAAAGTTCTATTATGCCATATGTGAAAGTATGGACTCATACAGGAGGTCAAAAAACTCAATATACAAATGGAGACCGTTCAAACTTTTGGCTTGGCATTCCATTTGCTGACTCAGAAGACTTTATGGGTGGTATTTCAACTGTTGGTACAGTTCAAATACAATATACTGGTGACAGAGACGGTCCAGATGAATTGAGAGCAAAGAAGTTTACAAAACCAATAGCACTTTTCACGGAAGATGCTCTTTTGAAGATTCGTTCGATGAAACCTGCTGGAGCTCCTCAGATTGGCATAACGACAGCTTCCATCGAGCAGATTTTGGCAGCAGGTCAGTAAGTTGTTCTTGAACTGACTTCTCTCCGTCAAATATTGACAGTACGCCAGTTTTGACATAATATTGTATTATAAACTTTTCTTTAGTAATATCGGTCAATTTTGAAGTTATATTTTTGTCTGCTTCAAGAACTTTCACCATTTCAGTTATACCAACTTTCTTTGCTTTATGAAAATATTTTGGTTCAGCAAAGACTGCTATTCTATAACATTTTCCATTGTTTGTGTAAAGAACTATTCTGTCAATGTATTTGTATTGTTTGTGAGTGTAAACTTTGTTTTGCTTCAATTCGAAGAGATACTCAAATACGTCCATCTTTTTATTCTAAGTAAAATGTCATTTCCGAAAAATAGAAGCGTAAGTGTTTCAAAAGGTTTAATGGCGGTGGCAGATGTGAAGTTAAATTCACCAACTCAAAAAACAGTCAAAGTGTTGTTGTCAATGTCAAAGACAGAGATGTTGAAGTGGGGAAACCATACGAAGACGAAGATGGTATAACAATTGTTCCTGTAAAAGAACCAACATATCCTGAAGTTAGCAGAGACTTAAGTTCTGTTGCAGATATTCGAAACGACTACCAACAACTGAAAGACAAACTTCAAACTCAGGAGAAGATTTGTCAAGCTTTAAGTATATATGTTAAACTTGGTCGAACACAACCCTGTAAAAGTGAACTCATATGTCATTGCACCTCATGAAGTTTTGAAAGAACTATTGAAACTTTTGACAGAGGCAGACGATATAAACATCAAAGAAATAGAACCCGACATCAGTTGCTGTGGTGTTTCATATAATGTCATTGACAAGATATACGTTATGAAAGGAGGTGAAACGTTGAACTTAAAGTATAGTTTTCCCAGACGTCATAAAAATATTTGACGACCACAACATTTCATTAAAATTTATTTGCTAAGTAAATGGCAGAAGACATAATGGTTTATACTATTACGACTAAAAACCCTGAGTCATATAATTCTATAACAACAAACTTACAAAGTCCTCAAGGACGATATTGTAAACTAACCTTAAACACAATGACGACTAAAGCCTGTTTGCTCTTTTGACACCGAAGACTTTATTGTTGTGAATGGTAAAAAATACTCCTTTGAAGATACTTACTCAGATATACCACCAACAGGTTTTGTTGACTTATTTAATACTTTAAGGACGAGTGTAACATGTGCTGCAACTAGAGCAGGTTTCATTATGTTTGGATGTCCGACTGAGTTTACTATAAACAATATGAGCTATAATAAAAACTTTATATCTGGTTTTTACTACCAACAGTTTCCTATAACAGGAAAAGGTGTCATACAAGGAATGTCTGTTCCATTGACTTTAAGTACACCTATTTTATATATTGTTTCAAACTTAGGTTCAAAGTGTTATTCGAATGTTGACAGAAACTATTATGACCAAAAGATACTTATGCGTATAAACAATACTTTCTCTGCTGGTTTGCCTATTGTTCATTCGAATGCAGAATTTTCAACCTTAGTGAACTCAAACACTTTGGCAAGTATAACGTTGACATTAGTTGACGCAAACTTTGTTCCTGTAAAACTTTTATGTCCTATGTATTTGTCAATGACGGCAGAAAGTTTCGAATTGGAAGATGCAACTGGTGAAAGTATTGTATATTACAAGAACAACTCAACAACAAATAGCTCAAGAACAACAAAGCAACAAATGGAACAACAAGTCAAGAATAAAAAAATATTTTTTTTTATTTTTATAAAAATGTACAGAATAGATGTTTCAGATTTTTATGACTTCCAAGCATTCAGAAATATGTGTCCATTTCGAGACTATAACAAAGCAGTCGAAAATTTGAAACGTTTAGTCATTTATGTCGACTCTGCCCCAGAATGTTATGTCATGAAAGAATGGGATGTTGTCTTTAACAAACCAAGAGCAACAATAGTTTCAGAACAAGAATGTAGACAGAAACTTAAGAAAATAAAAGTCGTACAAGTTGGCATGAAGATGTTAGATGCTTGGGATATCTTATTGTCAAAACTTGAAGATTTTTCAGTTCGAGGTATAAAGTTTTATACACCTTCTCCAAACTTCTATTCTATCTTCACTGGATATAAATAGCGAACAAGTAGAATGGAAACACAGTATTATAGAAGCTTGGTTAGACCATGTCAAAGAAATTATATGCAATGGAAACGAAAGAGTCTATGAGTATATCTTATGTTGGTTTGCAAACATCTTACAACATCCAAGTGCTAAAATGAAACTGCTCTCATTATAATTGGAAAACAAGGAACAGGTAAGAACACATTCTTTACAGATATCTTGTGCAAACTGTTAGAAGGTTATTCGAACCCTAATATGACAAACTTAGAAAACATCTGCGGTAAATTTAACTCCTCAATAGAGAATATGAAACTTATAGTTTGCAATGACTTCAAAAGTATAGATACAACAAAAGTTTTAAACTCAGATGCTTTGAAGAGTCTTATAACAGACAAAGTTGGAGTTGTTGAAAGAAAGTATAAAGACTCAAGAGTTGTGAAAATGTTGCAAACTTCATTATGGTTTCAAACAATGTTGTTCCGATGAAGTTAGAAAGTTCTGACAGAAGATATGTAGTTGTCAGAACGTCAGATTCTCATATGCAAGATACAGAATATTTTGACGCTTTGTCAGAATGTTTGACATCTGACTTTTACAACCACTTGTTCTCATATTTCAATGACATTAGATATTTCTTAAGTTCAATCCAAGACAAATTCCACATACCGAAGAGAGACAAACATTGTTAGAAGCAAACAAGAGTGTAATGAACTGTTCATAGATGAAACTGACTTTGTGTCATTAGATGAAGGTCATTGTACGATTCGTATAAACAATATTGTCAAGAATATGGTTATATGGCAGCGTCTAAACGTACATTCTTGGCAAATGTCAAAAGTCTTTTAGATGTTCAGAATGGTGTATATACAAAGAAAAATTTTTCTGAGTAAATTTTAAAAAAAATATTTTTTATCCGATAGAAAAGATGACGAAATTCATCTCAGTAAACAAGTACATGACAGAAGTCAAAGATAAGTTAGCTCCATTCACATATTTGAATGTTTACTTCTACAATTTTGAAAAGTCTACATTTGACAAAATTTGGAACATTGCACCAGTTAGTTTGCTATTGTGACTAAAAATGGTGCGAAATTTGAAGACTTAGACATAGAAGGTTTGTTAACAGTCAAAGAAAATTTTGACAGAAAGTTCTCAAAACTCGAAGAAGGTAAAGCATACAAACTTGTTATACCTTATGAACAAAGAAAGCAGACGACTATGAATATTATGAGTCTAAGATAGTTGAAGTTCAAGGTAAATTGGGTAAAAAGATTTTAGAGTCTAAGCCAGTGTTTACTCCTAAAGAGGAAGAGAACATTGACATTGACCCAGAATGTTCTAAAAATAAAATTTTATTTTTACATGTCAAATTTCTTTTCTCTGGAACTGGTTCAGGTTCTTTCTTCTCTTCTTCTACTTTCTTTTCTTTCTTTTCTCTCTTCTTCTTCTTCTCTGGTGGAGTTATGTCAAATTTGGCGCAACCATATTTATGTAAAAGTTCTTTGTCCTTTAATAGCTCTTCTATTCTGTTTTCTATTTCATCTTCAAACAGCGCATGTGCCTTCTTTGCATTCTAAGAACTTTTGTTGGACTTCATCTTTCCAATCGGCGTCATCTCTGTCAACAAGTCTGTCATTGACAAATTTTAAGACTGCTCTTGTAATGTTTATGGTTCTTGTCATATTCCCAGAAACAGAACTTTAGAACAAATTCACCTTTCTTGTTTACACTATGTAAGATTTTATGGTCGACAGATGTTTTGCTGTCGAAAAGTTTGTCTCGAATATAGATAGCGAAATCGCTAGAACATTTTCAAAAAGATAAAAATTTTAATTTTTTCTAAAATATGTTAGAAAAAAAGTTTGCTGACATTGACAAGAAATTTGAGAATGTTTTAAACAAGAACAAGAGGAAGTGTTGGAAAATGCTCAGATAAAACCCATACATGACAAGTTCTTATTTGCTTCAGAATGGTATAACAGGTCTAATTGCACCACCTGGGTCGGGTAAGACTTTCACTTATCTTAAAATGGCTGCACAACAACAAGAACTAGATGAGAAAAAACCCATTCTATGAGTTAGTTGTTATTTGTAGTACTTCTGGTCAATTTGACCAAACCGTCAATTCGTTCAAAGATATTATATAAGAAGTCTAAGTTAGTATGTATAAAGGATACTGAGTTGTTAGATTGGATAAAGAAGTACCAAAGAAGGGTTTGTGAAGTATAATGCTATAAATGAGTATATAAATTCGAAGTTTAAAGACCCAAATGAGGAAATGCAGAGAATATTAGAGAAGAAACACTTCAGAAAACAAACAGAAAGAGATAGAATACATTTCGAAGAAATTGCAATCTTACGATTGGAAGACTTACCCTCATAGATGTCTTCTTATCTTAGATGATTTCGCCTCTCATCCTTTGTTAAAGAACAGAGAACAGGATATGTGTCGAATTCTTAAGAAGCTCAGACACTTTAACATCTCAGTTGTCATTTGTGTACAGACAGCAAAGAGTTTAAGTAAGGATGTTAAAAGAATACTTACTGACATTATACTTTTCCCTGGATTGTCCGAAGACGATTTCATGGAACTTATGAAAGAGTCCATGGCAGGTAAGTTTGACAGACATGAACTATGGGAGAAGTACAAAGTCATACAAGACCCTCATACTTCTTTCAGAATTCATATCTACGCAAACAAAGTTCAAATTGTAAAAAGTCAAGCGTAAAAATAAATGGTTCATTTACTCTACTTGTTTGAAGTTGTCAAAATACTCTGTTATTTTTTCCTTTAACAATGGCAAATCTTCTTTGAAGGTAAGAATTGTACAACCTTTAATATCATAGTGTGTTTGAGGTAAAGTATCTTGAACTATTTGTTTCACATCTTCATTTGGGGTCATTGAAATCGGTAAGTTTTCGCGATAGAACCAATTTCTGTCAGATTTGTAAATCTTAGCAAGGTCGTAAAAGCTTTTGTTGTTTCTTCTGACTAAATGCAACATAACCATATCTTTATCTTCTTCATTTTCCATCTCTTCAGTATAAATCATATACTTATAGTTCTTTTCCTTTCCTTTTGGTACCGAACGTGGTATTCTTTTCTGAATGCTTTTGGCTTTTGCTTCAAGCTTGTTCTCTAGCTCTTCACGTTCTTGTCTATGAATTTCGTCAAGAAGTCTGTAAATATTCCAAGCATAACGAGGTGAAGCCCACATTGCAACAGCATTTACAAGAAGTCTATGAACATAATATCCTCTCAAACCGTTTGGCAATTTTTCACGATTTTCATAGAGTTTTGGCGAGTGGGATTTTCCTCCCACTCGCTGTTCTTCACGATTTTCATGAGTTTTAGGCGACTGCGGTTTCCCTCCCACTCGCTGTTCTTCACGATTTTCAGAAAAAAGTATGTCTCGCTGTGCTTCGCTCAAAAGTTCTTGTGTGCTTTGGTTCCTAAACCAGTCTTTAGGAAGCTTAGTATCTGGAGCAAAACAAGCCGTCAAAATACTTTGCATTTGGTACATATCGTCTTTGACCGAACGAATTAGACGCAATTGTTTGTTATACTGTATGTACTCGTATTCTTCATTTATAGCTTCATGGACTATAACTGTTGTTGTGTTCTCTGTTGTTGACATATCTGTCTTTATATTCCGGATAAAAAAATAAATAAAAATAAAACTAACTTTATTTTTTCTATCTTAAGGAAATTCATGAAAATTCAAGAGGGTGAGAAAACAGGTGAAAAAACGGGTGAGATCTCACCTCTTCACCTAAATTATATTTTTGCTGAATTCAGCAACAAAGTTCAAATTGTAAAAAGTCAAGCTTGAAAAATCTAAGTGTTTAGTCTTAGTAAGATGGTAGCTTCTTAAAGCAAATACCATTGCTGAGTTTTATGTACGTGAAGAGAAGTACAATGAATTCAATTACGAGTACAATTGCAATGACAACTAAGGCAACTATTTTTGTCTTTTGCCAGCAAGGGTACTTCTTCTCTTCCAATGGTTCGGCAGAACTATACTCACTCATGAGAAATGCCAAAACGGTTTAATAGAAAAAGTGTCATTTTTTCATGTCCGCAGACTCGAAGGTGCAACACTTCCAAAATACCGACGAACTCAGAAGAGCAGCATGGCAGTATCTTCTTGACAACTTCTTTGAGTTCTCCAGGTACACCTTGGAAAATGCTGAAGAACTCCGACACAGAGAATTTGGAGAAATTGTACTCCAATACTACCTTGACAAACAAAGGGTAAACAAAGGGTAAATTAAGACTAAAAACTTAACGTTTAAAAAGTGACATTTTTAAATGAGCTCCGAGTCACCGAGAAAACTTGGTCAGATGTTAGCAGCTTACTTCCCTGAGGAGGATGGAAGCGTTACATACGTAAGGTTTCAAAAAACAACGAACCTGGAATTGCGTACCAAATTCGCATTACATGACCATGGAAGAGTACGAAAGGTTCCTACAAGAGAAACCAGCTCTAAACAACTCAGAAAAGAAAGAATAAAAAGTTTAACTTCGTAATTGTTTATTTTTTTACTTGTATGGGCAAGCTGCAAGAATGAAGTCGACTATCTCAGTCTTTGTCTTGACCAGTTGGACGGCTCTTGCGAGTACGTCTGTTTTGCGGTCTCCAGCTGGTGTCCTGGACCTTCGTAATTGCGCATGTTCTTGAGAGCTCCAACTGTAAATGGTTGTAGGATGAAGAGTCTCTCAGACTGCTTGAGGTAGTCTTCACGGTCCACGAACCGAATCTGTGGTACGAGTCGAATTGGTCGATTTGAGGGAAGAGACTGAGAGCCTGTCTTCTTCCATTGGAGCTGTAGCATACTCTTTGCGTAAACGGTTCAGACCTTCTTCGAAGTCTTGGTCTCTCTTCGATTGAGATTGAGATTGGAATTGCTGGGGTGGAGCTTGCTGGAACATCCAAGGGTTGGGGAAGTAAGGCATAGGCTGAGGAGGAGGGTAGTTCGGGAAGCCTTGTGGTAGGTAGTAACCTTGAGGTGGAAATTGGTAGTAATTTGGTGGAGGGACTTGCTGGAACTGAGGTTGCTGAGGAGACTGTTGTGGTTCTTTAGGTTCCTCTGGTTTGGGAATGGACTCGGTTGGTGGGACGTGGGACATCTGTTTGTGGCTTAACCGTCGGAAGGAAAAACCTTTCCTGTCGGAAGGAAAAACCTTTCCTGTCGGAAGGAAAAACTTTTCCTGTCGGAAGGAAAAACTTTTCCTGTCGGAAGGAAAAACTTTTCCTGTTGGAAGGAAAAACTTTTCCTGTCGGAAGGAAAAATTTTTCCTGTAGGAAGGAAAATTTTTTCCTGAAGTTCGACCAAAAAGTTCTCAATTTTCGAAAATTTGAATGGTTTACGGACGGACAACTGGAAAAATTTTTCCTGTAGGAAGGAAAATTTTTTCCTGTAGGAAGGAAAATTTTTTCCTGTAGGAAGGAAAATTTTTTCCTGTCGGAAGGAAAAATTTTTCCTGTCGGAAGGAAAATATTTTCCTGTCGGATGGAAGGACTCGGAATGCCAGAAGGATTTGACGAGGCAGTTTACCTAATTGAAATTAACGACTGCATAAAAGACTACTTGCGCAAGGTCATGAAGCCCAAGGTCAAGTTCACCAGTATTTCTGGAAGGTCTACACTTCAGCTCGAGACTTCGACTGGAATTCCAATTCAAATACCAGACGGGACAGCCTACGATGGCATAAAGGACGCCAAAAGAGAAGTTCTTGTTAAGTTCCTAAACAAACGTCCTTGGATAAAAATACCAAACAAGGAGAACCCCCTACCCCATATGAAATTGGCAATTCAGTCTCTCCTTCACTTCTCGGGTCAGCCGTTCTACATAACCTGTGAAGGCGACATCCAACCAGTTCAGTAAACCTTAACGTTTAGAGTAAAAACATTTTTTTCATTTTTTGAATGAAGCAAGTTAAATTCGTCCCACACCAATCTCAATGGACCGATGAAGAGTTTCAAGCCATGCTTGAAGGCGTTGAGAACAACATAGACGGCGAACTTGAAGGAGCTCAAACCACAATTGCAACCAAAATTGCAGGAGTCAAGGAACAGATAGCTCCACTTAAAGCTACCAAAGCTACTCTTGACCTCATGGATAGTTACCGTTTAGATGTCAAGAGTGGAATAAGACAATTAAAATTAAAACTTCTAAACTACGAAGCTATACTCCAAGTTAGCAGAGATGAGAAGACTTTACCAGAGCTACTTACATGTAAGGGACTTACCTTCAAGCAGTCCGACCAAAGATGAATTTTCTGACATTGTCCCAATTTTGTCCGAAAGTCAGCTCAGATGTTTTGAACTGCTCCCAACATATCCAGAATATGAAAATTTGCCTGAACTCTTCCGCAATCTCAAAAAACGTTTTTTGGTTCTCATGTTCGAAAACTTTTATCGGAAGAGACAACAAACGTTCAGAAGAGAGCAAGATATTATTTTAAACTTGTTGTATGACTTAACTGTCATAACAAGCTTTTTGAAGTAAAAACTGCCATTCTCAAACCACTTCATTTTTTCGATGTCCGAACAAGCACCGAAGCCGAACACAATGGCAGATGTCCTTTCAAGGTTGCCAGACAAGCGCCCAATTCAAATTCAAATTGCCCAATTGAAAGCTCATCTGACAAACACCATTAAGACTCTCCAAAGTAGTCTTATGACAGAGATGACCAATCTCAAAGCCGATGTCCTCATGAACCAAGCTTCCAATGAGAAATGCCTGAACGATTTCACGGAAACCTTGCGCAATTACGAGAGAGAGAACCGAGACCTTGCCAGACTCATATACCGTTTCTTCGAAGAGATAGACGCCATCTGGAAGGTACTCGGAAAGGACAGAACATGCAACACCGTACTTCGTGAGTACCAAATTGAAGAAGGAATTGTCGAGGAAGAAGAGGAAGAAGAGGAAGAAGAGAAACACGAAGAAGTTCCTGAAGCCGCTACATGGGCAACCCTTGTTGCCGATGACGCTTACGAAATTTCCCAACCCTACCCATACCAAATCCGCAACAAGGAGACAGGCAAGGTTCTTACCCCAGTCCTCAACAACTTGGGACACTTGAACCTTAACCTTCGGAATCGCGGTTCAATTTCCATGGGCAAGCTTGTCGCAATTCAATGGGTTCCAAATCCAGACAAGAAGACGAGGGTCAGACACATTGACGGTGACAAGCTCAACAACCGTAAGGAGAACCTCGAGTGGTTCTAAGAGTAAAAAAATTTTATTTTAGGGGGAAACCCCAAGTAAATTTAGGTGTTTATTTGGATAAGTATGTTAAATTAAGGGTAATTTGCAAAATTAGTTCCCGACCTTTGAATTGGGCTCTTTCGTTATCCCAGTTGCGTAGGAGGTCGTCCCAGAGGAGTTGGTAGAATTGCCAATCCAAGGACGATTTGTCCTCCCAGGCATTGAGGATGTACTGCTCGTAGAGTTTCATGACCTCTGCCTTGCACCAGACACCCTCTCCCTTGGAACGTAAGGCTTCTTCGAAGTGCTCGAATGCGATTGGCTGCTTGACCATCCGAAATGACACTTTTTGTCCGTTTGGTCAATGTTCGTGTCTCGTGCCATAGTCGACGAAAATACAGACAAACAGGTTATATATGAGTTTGAGACCAAGAATGGTGTAACTCGACCTGTCCGATTCAAAGACTCCGAGGGCGACCATGAAATTAAACGGAAATTAGCTAGGAAGGAATATAAAATGGACTGCTTGCCACCACCTCCACCTCCACCACCTTTACCTGTTCCTCAAGTAAATAAGCCTTTCCCGTTCCCAAGAATTCCCACATTTTAATTCAAATTCGAATAAAAATTTTTTATTTCATGCAATGTTTAACTATTTCACCATCTTCTTTAACACCCCAGTACTTACGCTTGGAGAGGACATGAACTTCGGTGAAAATTTTGTCCAATTTGAATTGACCCATCTTTTCACCGACCATACCCATTTCAATGAGTTTGTTGTATCCTTCTTCGTTCGTCATGAGTGCGTCAATGTTCTCATAGTAAACCACAACTTTCGATTTGACTTCGGAGAAGAATTTGTTGTACTCGTCAAGGACTGCTTTTGCGAACTGAGGGTAAGACCAATGTTCGACAATAGGTTTTAATGTGGTTACTAAGCCACTTTGACCTTGAGTGAATTCGTACTTCAAAACAAAAGGAGAAAACCTTTCAACAAAGTTGTCGACCTTCTCATAATGTTTACTCTTCATCTCTTGAGGTTTCTTAATGGAATATCCCCATGTCGAATTCATAAGCAATTTGAGTGTCATTGCAAGTTTGGGGTTTGAAGCTTTCCTAATATCATACAGTTGTTGTATGACTTTTCCAACTGTATAGTTCCTTCCCGGGAACTCACCATCTTCGTTTGGAATTCCAGTCGGAATATATTGGACAAACCTCATGTATGCAGCGTTAAGGTCGACATAGTATATCTTTTCATCTGAGTCGAACTTGTCGCAACCAATTGGTCCAGTTTGTGGAAATTCAAGTGAGTCTCTTATCTTCTGAGAAACTTCTCCTGTTATCTCATAAACATCGTCGAAGCAACCTGTTTCATATAAAACCTTCTGACCTAACTCAGATGCTCTCCAATACAATT